TCAATTAAAAAATTATGCTTGAAAAAAATTATGCTTGTATCTTCAAAGACATTTTACTGAATCCCATCAGACTATGAAGGGTGGCCTTAAATTTTCAACATTTTGAGGATGGGATTTTCAGATACAGGTTAAAAATGTAGATAAACGACTTACGGGTTTTCACTCTGTCTCCTTTGCTGCCATCTAGTGACAGTTCTAAGTGATGTAAAGAAGTGTAAGAAGGTGTGTCCCAGAACGAAAACTTGACTAAGTACTTTTCTATTTTCTTTGTCCACACAGTGCCCTCATTGGGTTGGAGTGTTTCCGACTGAGTCTAGGGATTGAATTGGCTGATCTGCATCAGTGGTGACACTTAACCTCCTCAAGAACACTTACTAAACATGTTGCTGGGTCCTGTATAAAGCGAGGGAAGTTGACCTCTGAAAATGACAAGTGTGGTCCAACTACAGTTTGAAGAGTCATGAATACATCATGAAAAATAAACCCATCATTGAACAGATACATGATATGTTTACATTGCAGGCAAAAGACTTACAGTGAAAAACAAGTCTTTTCTGTAAAAATGTGCTGCCATGTGTGTACATTACTTTATATTTTTGGTATTGAGTCTTTGGGACCAATTCCTAGCATAATTTCTAGGTCAAAGAGGAAATGCATATATAAATCTACTAAATATTGCCAAATTACCCTCTGTAGGGGTTCCAACATTTCCTATTCCTGCCAGCAATGTGTGAGCGTGGTTGGTTCTCCATAGCCTTGCCAACTGAGTAGGATTTACACTTTTGGATGATACCAATTTGATAGGTAAGAAGCTGTAGATCCCTGTACTTTAAGTTTGCTTCTCATTATTATTGTTTCAGTCAAGGTCCAGCCAGGAGAAGAAAAACCAGACCAATTATTTTAATGAACTAAACACAGGCAAAATGTTTAAACACAAACTGGTGGACTAAAGGGGCAAAAAAAAAAAAAAAATCCACACCAACAAAAGGGAGTAATACAGAGATAGTAAGTCTAATTAGCTATATTAAAACTCTTCATATTTTGGAATACTTTCGGTTTTCTAACTGAACCCTAATTTCTCTGTCTATGACTGTTTGCCCCAAATCATCACATTGCCCCTCTGACTCACCTACTTGAATTCTGACAATGATCCCTTTAACCCCACTGAATGGAAAGGCTCCTTATATCCTAGGGAAGCCATAGATTGCCTTGAGCATAAGGATATGACCAGAGGCTCTCTGGAATCTGAGGCAGATATTGATCTCAAAAGCTTTGTTTAAATCAGCATCCCTGCTCCAAATTCCAAATTTTAAAAAATTTGTGCTTTAGAGGTCTCTTGACAAATTAGGAGGCAGAATAGCATTCAATCTTTCCTATTCTTGTGGAGGCTCTTGCTCATTGCATAATTCATTCTTTAGCATTACACATGGTACACACATATTTGTTGAATGAATTAAGTAATCAATGAAAGAATATGTAAAATGGCCTCAAACTTTAAATAATCAGATTTTCATGGTCTGAAGGGAGCTGGATGTCCACTCACCTCACTCCTCTAAGTTGGATAATTACTTTTTAATGACCTTATTCTTCTTTTATGTTTTTTGAATTCTAAAATACAGATGCAGAACATAGAGTGTATATAGTTTTAGAAAACTTAATGTCATTTCCAACTTTTCAATGACCCAAAACTTTGTTTTCCACCTTAAAACCAGATCTGGAGCATTAAGGACTTTGCATACTTTATAACACACACACACACACACACACACATTAATATCGATTTTGTGCAGGTTGGCAAGGGGCTCAGGAACTCTCTGGAATGACCCTTCCATTATGGGAAGTGGAGCATGGAGAATCACCCAATGGCTTCTAAATGCGTTCCTCTTGCTTACAAATGGCCAGAACTGTTTTCTCACATGACTTATAAGGGTGCCGGGAAATGTGGGGAAGCACTTGGGTCTTTGCTCACCAAACACCCTTCTTCCACACAGCACTTACTCATGTTCCCTCCGGAAGACAATCCCAAACCTGTCACTTCCTTAGATGCTCTTCCTTAAATGAAATTGTAATGATTCTAGGCAGTAGTGTTACTTGTATTCGGTTTTACCACAAGGAATGCAACTAAGAATTGTTTTATAGTTATATTTTCTCATCCTTCAGCAGCAACTTTTATCAATTTCAATGTCAACTTCTTGGAGGCCTCTCAGAATAGATATTGGTCAAAGCAGAATAAGCAAAGTCCCAGAGCAGCGTGGAGTTGCTGTCATTCAGTGTGGGGCAGGGAATGAAAGGAGGTAAGACTTGAGGCCCAGGGCAGGAGGTCCAATTAGCCAACTGGGTCTGTTCTGGCAATACAGTTATTTTTCACTGGCTCATCATCTTTTAACCTATGCTCTAAATACTCATTCATCTTATCAGTTTCTTAAGGTTGCTATTTAAGGCTCTTCTTGAGGCCTACTCCAGCCTCATCTCCCACAACTCTTAGATGAAACTGGAATGTCAATAAGGCAGCTACTTGCTGCTGTTCTGAGATTCTTCTGTGCTTTGCAGCGTTCACGCCATCATGTACCGCTGCCTCTCCCCTTCTTCCTCCCCACCCTCCCACCGCCCCTCCCTCACCATGCAGTTACACACAAGAGCCTTTACATCCTTAAAAACCTAGTTCAGGTGTGGCAAGCTGGTAGGAAGGGTTGCGCCTTTTAAAATCTAGATTTCTGGTTTCTCTTGAAAAATCAAAAGAACTGGCATATCTGGATCTGAATCTCTGCATGGCAGAAAATGGCTGACGGTCAGGGTTATCCTTTTAGATGGGCAGGTGCCCGGCAGTTTTCAGCACTCCTTTCTTGACACTTCACTCATTTCACTGGCTGCCTGGTCTCTACAGCCTTTTGGGTTTCTATTCCCTAGTGCAAATGTCATCCGTTTCAAGGCCCCTTCCTTTTTCCCCTGTACCAGATGTAAATTCTTCCATTTTGAAAAGCAATCACACTGTAGCCACCTTTTTAAAAAATGTAATTCACATTCCTACGAGTCTTTTAAACATGGCCAGTGCTCAACAGATATTTACTTCAACAAAATGAAATGACTTTGCCTCCCTAACATGGGGAATAAATAGTTTGTGGTCATGTACTTCTATTTTGAAAAAGTACTCCTATAACCTGCCAAAATTTAAGCAGGTTCTACAATTTCCCTTAGAAATTTATTAGATGGTTCTTCCCCTTATAGGTATCCTTTCTCTCCAAGAGTCCCAACTCAGCCAAAAGCAAAACACAAAAGCTCACCTTTACATTTATGGGAGTAATACTTTTTGCCACTGATGATTTCAGATTTGATTCACTAGCTTCTCTGCCTCTGGAAACCTAAGTTAATCAGTAAATTCTCAACAATGTCCCAGGCTTTATGCTAAGCTCTCTACCTGCATTACTTCATTTAATTCCCTCCACAACTCAACCATAGGAATCCTCTCCAATTTAGTCAAGAACAAAAATTCAAGTTGCCCAGTTACTAGGCAACCACAGTGTAAACCTAAGTAGGTGGACCCCAGGGCCCAAAGTCTTCATCATTAAATCCTGCCCACCCTTATCAAAGATTAGTATTATGTGTGTATCTGACTTAAGACACCATTTTACATGAGCACATCACAGCAGTGGTTCTCAGAGTGCGTCCTGGACCAGCACCGTCACCATTACCTGGGAGCTTTTTAGAAATGTAAATACCCAACTACAGCCCAGACCTACTGAATAAGCAATTATGGGAGGGGGCCCAGAAATCAGTTTAATAAGCCCTTCAGGTGATTTTGATGCATCCTGAAATTGAGACTCCAGGTCAGAGGTCCCTCCTCAGTGCTCTTACAGTATCCAGTTCGGTTTACTTGTTTCCAGTTTTCCAATTCCTCTGTTTGACGACCCACTTAACCTAAGTTCCTTTAAGCTAAGGCTATCTTAATCAGTTTTATTTGTACTACACTTATTAAATGACTGAGTAAATAAATAAAAGAATGTAGAAGCCAAGGATTTTTAACAATACTGGTGTAGAGTGGAAGAAATTTCATCAGTACTTTTAAAAAAATTATTTTGGAGCTCCCCCTCCCCACCCCAATAAAACATCCAGAGATTGTATAAGGATGGGGCCAGAATAAAAGAATTCAGTTGGTAAACCTGAATTATGGTGGAAACTCAGCAGAGTACTGAGGGGCAGCACATTTTTGTGAGTGTATTCAAAGACACAGTGTCACATTCTACTGTTACTCAATTTCTAGTAGTGAAACATTTCCATTAATTCATTAATTTAAAGCAGTTGTGATTTCTCTTCCTAAGATGCTCATAAAAGAAGGATGCAGTGCCATGTTAGTTACCACAGAAGACTACCATAAATGTTATGACCTATTTGCTATGAGTTTTAAAGTTCTAAGAAATGCAAACCATAGTCAAACTGGGAATACATCAAAATCTGAAAAGTATTTGCTTTGTTTTTATAGCGACTATAGAAGTCTATTCAGGATAAAAATTTAAACTATGAAATCTAACAATATTCAGAGTTTTTCTGTTGCAGGACCCTGAGGTTGCTGTCAAAATTGGAAAACTCATCAAATTTAAGAGAGTTGTGTTGGTCCCAGTCAGAAGTTACTCCAGACACAAAACTGCTATAAATAACACTGATGGTAAATTCTCAAAATGGCCCCATAGCCACACCCCTGCTACAAAGTAACTTGGCTGTGATTAACAGGACACTTGCTAAGTGGTCAAAGATCAAGTCTGCTGTAAAAGATAACGGCCATCACCTCATACTCACAAAACTCTGTGGATATCCTGCTGGATGAAACTGTTGTCAACAAGGCCATCTTCTATGACCCTGCACTCAGTGCAAGGCCAGGAGGGAGGCAAAGTTCAAATTTGAGGAAATCAAAAACAGGCAAAACAAGTGATTCTTCCAAAAGCTGTGATTTTGAGATGTTGCCTAAATCATTAAAACAAGTTCCCAGGAGAAAAATAAACAGAATATTCCATTAAAAATTTTTTTTATGAATAACTGTCATTAATACAATAGAAACTGGTATGATTATAAGATACAAAAAAAAATCAGAAGAATGTTAGCATTCAATAGAAATTAAAATCTGAGCTGAAGCCTGATCAGAATGTCTGATGCTTAGCAGTGTTCTGATGGAAGCTAAGAAATATGTTTGCTAGACTTTGTAAATAATTCATATAACTCACAAAAGTTTAATTTAGATTTCAAAATCTACACATTAAGCTACAATTCACTGGCATTTAAATGAAATGACTGTTGACAAACATTTAAGATAATCAGGGTTACCTAAAGCTCTCAAAGGGGAAGGCAGGAAGGTATGTAAATTGTAGATTTTTAATCAGCAAGTTGAGATTTTGGTAAAACATGGTTTAATTATTTATTCATGTAGATCTAAAATGCTAGCTCAGTTTATCGAGCACATGAGAATGACAAAAGAAGTCAAAGGCCCAGGGATGGATCAACACAAATCCATCCCAACTTCTGGAAAACAAGTGACACAGTGTAACCATCACAAAGAACAGTACTAGTAGGAAAATACTTGTAGTCTAATTCAGTTTTCACTTTGACTTCTAAAGTATCTCTTACTAAGAATCCGGTGAAAAACAAGGAAATTCTACTCCTTTAATTAACAACTGTCCATAAGCAGAAGGAAAGAAACAAAAGAAATCTTATATAAAGTGATGGGCCTTGTTGACTAAAAATCTGTGAACATGAATTCATTTTAGTATGTTGAATCTTGAGTCATACTTACAAACCACTGATTAATATGCTACAAAACTTTACAAACATAAAATCTCATCTGTTGCATAACTCCCAAACCAATGGAGTTAATTTCCCTTTTAATTACTCCTTCAACAGAAAGTCCTAAAACCAAGTAGTCATCGGAATTCTTTCACACACGTGTCATTAAACATGATGTTTTTGTCAAAATGACGCACGAAGCAAATTTCAAATGAGGTCAAGGATCTTATATGCCCTCAAAACATATTTTCAGTTCTTTGTACTCTAGGTTACATAAAAAAGAAATGAGGACAGCTGGACTCGTAATTTCTTTCAGTCCAATGGCATTAAACTCCGACATCTCCATGCTAGGAAAGGATACAATATTTAAGTGCTCCATTATAAAGTTATCTCCAGTTCTAAAAGAGACAGCTTTTATTATTATTTACTTTTTTAAAGAGAACTGATGCAGTGCCCTTTACTTAGCGGAGACCAGTCACTGACTTCCTTCCTATACCAGCTTTCCAAGACGATACTACATGAGTTTTTGCCCTCCTATTTTTGCCTCGGGTTTTGCGAGGCTTCTCTTCTTTGTGCACCTTCATGTGCTGCCTAAGATGAGAACTCTGGCTAAAGCATTTGCCACATTCACTGCACTGGTAGGGCTTCTCCCCTGTGTGGGTTCTCTGATGCTGAATAAGGTGGGAACTCTGGCTGAAACATCGGCCACACTCATCACACTGATAGGGCTTTTCTCCGGTATGAATTCTCTGGTGCTGAATGAGATTTGAGCTCTGTTTAAACCTTTCTCCACACTCATCACATTTATAGGGCTTTTCCCCAGTATGGACCCGTCGATGCTGAATGAGATTAGAACTCTGAAAGAAACTTTTCCCACAATCAAAACATTTATGGGATTTCTTTCCAGTATGGATCTTCTGGTGTTGAAAAAGAGTCGAGCTCTGACTGAAACTCTTTTCACATTCACTACATTTATAGGGCTTCTTATCCAAGCTTCTTCTCAGTCTACTCAAGCTTGAGTCAAACCGAATGGTCATGCCCCATTTCTGCTGCTGCCGGCCTGTTTTGCGCTGGTTCTCAGAGATTTTTCCTTGGCTTGAGCGCCGAGAAATACCTCCCTTAGGTTTTCCTAACCGCATGTTGAAGAGCCAAATGTATTCTTGAGAGTCTACTTTCTTCTTCTGAACTAATGTTCCTCTTCCTAGAGCTACACAGCTCAGAATTTTCTGGGTGTAGAAGAAAAAAAATAGAAACAAATTACAGATCATTTGTTAATTACTCAACTTTATATCTCTTTGGCTTATTCCTTTTTTTTTTTTTTTTAAGCTGAGCCATCCTGCCACCTGTTGGCAGCTCAGCAGCAGCTCAGCTCGGGCCAGGAATTGAACGGCGACCCCGTTGCTCAGAGCTCTCACTCTTGAGTGAGCTCTTAACCAACTGAGCCACTCGGCCGGCCCCTCAACTTTATACCTTTTAAGACGCATCAAAATTGCATCCATGTTTTAATTAAAAATGTATTCAATGTACATTATGTATACATATGAAAACAGACAATTCGGAAGAAAACATATTTACAAAGTAATTCTAATAATTGCAGAGTTTAAACAATAAATAAAATTGTTTTAATATTTACTTCTATGTTAAACTTCTACTCACTTACTGGTGACTATCTAATTAAGGAGTCCAAATTAGAAAGAAATGACAACTCATGCTACTTTATTAAATATTTTTGTTTATCCTTATTTGTTTCGCCATTCTACTTTCACAGCTACAGATAACTGCTCTAACTTTGTAGTATAAACTGTTTTGAAAGTAGGAACTACTCTACAAGGAGAAGTAAATTTCTGTGAATCAATTCAATAAATACTGGGTGAAAAAAACATCAACAAAGAGATGCTTTATTATTTTTTCTAGATTTGAATGATCCAAGAAAGAGGACAATTCTTTGAAAACTTGAAACGAGGATTGTTTTTTGAGAGAGAAAGAAAAATTTCAAAAGAACTTTTACAGGATAGTGAAATAAAACTGAATAGAAAAAAAGGTGGAAAGTAGAACACAAGAAAAGGAGAAGGAGGAGAAAGTAAGTTTACATGTAAAAACAGGACGGAATTTATAAAATACCCAAATGCTGCAAAAATAAAACATTTCAAATAAATTAATTTTATTTCTTTACAAATTATTTAAAATAATGGCCATAAACAAACAAACAAGCCACAAACTCCAAATAGTGAAAATGTAGGAGAAGCTAGGCTGCAAAAGCAATAAAATTACTGGAACTATTTTCCACATCAGATGTCAGGAAGTAGACTTTAAAAATGGTAATAATTACCCTGGGTCTCTGCGTACAAGTTTATAAAACAAGTAACTGAAAACACAAATTACATAATTGTTCTGCCGTTCCTTCATCTTGTGTAACAGAATTCAGGCCTGATAGTGCTGAGGATTTATCTGGATATTTAATAATTATATCTGCTGTAATTATGGTATCAGAATAAGCAAACTGCATACACCACAATATTGCAGAGATCACGACTCATTCCTTAACTTTAGTAAATATTTATAGCACATCTATTACAAGGAGACATTTGTTAGGCCCATGGTGCTGGGGTTCAAAAAGTAGCTATTAGAGTTGAAAAAAAACACATTTATTTTTTAATACTATAATAATCAGATCTGGGAGGAAACTCAGAGGCTATCTGATCCACCTAGAACACTACAGATGAGGAAATCATACTAACAGATAGCTTGTATGCCCGACGCCGTGCTATTTTATTTAATTCTCACAATGGCTTTATGGGATTATCTCCATTTTACACCTAAGGAAAGGCAGGCATAATTGGCCAGGTTCCCGACCCCTAGCAACCTCATCCCAGAACCTGTACTCTTAGTGACAGAACTCAATGTGCAGCCACAACTTCCAACGCCAAGTCCAGGTGCTGGGACTTGCATCATTCCACGCAAGTGCAGGCATTAAGGTAAACTTGAGTGACAGGAGCCGCTAGTCATGCGAACATGCCTAACCAGAATGTGCCTGTTTTTCATACACAAAATTGGGTTAACAATAAGGCTACTACATCATCAGGGGTTAGAAGTTTAAATGAGTCAATATCTGTAAATCCCTCAGAACAGCCCTGTGTTACCCAAGCTTTTGTTTAATATATTTAGTCCCGAAACGCGGGCCGCGACACGAAGCGTAAGGAAGCAGTGCACAGGCACCGGCCCATCCGCCTCTACGCCCAACTGGTGGGGCTCCCCATAAGGCTCTGCCCTCCTGAGGCCTCAGACGGCTGCTCTTCGCAGGCAGGGCCCGGCCGGTCCCTCGGCCACCGCCCCCGGCCCGACGCACCCCAGCTGGGAGCGGAGGCCGAGACCACGCCTGCCACCCTGACGCCCGGGTCCCCGCTGCGGCCAGCTCGCGCAGTCTGGCTCCAGAGACGTGCACCAGGCCGCACGTCCCGATCCACTCACCGCGCACAGCCAGCCGCCACCCTCGCTCCCTTGCTGGGCGCCCCTCGCGTTGCCGGAAGTAGGGGCCGCGCTGGTCTTCCGCGCCGCCGCAGTCGCTCTAGGAACATGGAGGAGCGACCCTCTATGGTCGCTGGCCCACAGGAAAGAAGAAACTCGGTCTGTTCTTTTCTGCTGCCGCCCTTCGAAGGCGTGCTGTGGTCCCCTCCATTTGTGGCAGAAGAGTGGCCCACCCAACCCAATACTTCGTTGTTTCTACAAATACCGTTCACTTAATAATTTTAAAGAGGTACTTTTGTAGTACCTCTTTTGGAGAGCCTAAACTGCTCCTGATCTTTTTCATGAGTCGCCTTATTTCATTATCACCAAAAAGCCCCTCCAAGACGGGAAAGATCACACTCATTTTACATATAAGGAAACCACACAGAGAAGTTTGATTAAGTTCACACAATGTATAAGTGGACCACCAAGAATTGGAACTGGTCTTCTCCGATGGAAGTCTCGTTATTTTCAACACACCCCATTTATTTCCTTTTTGTAATAATGTCCCCTGCTTCTTTCTTGCGAGATCCTCCTCCTCAGCCAAACTGGCGGCTGCTGGGTCATCTGACCTCTGCTCTTCTCTATGTGCCCTCATTTCCCTGTGTAACTTCTCCAGTCTGATGGCTTCAAATACCATCCGTATGTGCTGAAGCCTCCTGAATTGGTAACTCCAGTCCCACCCTGAGATGCAAATATTATTGAACTGCAGGCTTTATATCCAGTTGATTACTCAGCACCATTTGCATCTGTGGTTGACATCACAAACTTAATATACCCCCAAATGAACTGATACTCACCTAACCTGTTCCTTCAAAAATCTTCCTCTCAGCAACTGATGGCAACTCTATCTTGCCAGTTGTTCAGGCTGAGAATCTTGATGTCAATGCAGACTGTTTTTCACCCAAAATCCAAATCCAATCTATAGCAATTCTTTTGGCTCTATCTTCAGAACATATCCAGAATCGAGCCACTTTCAACACTTCCACTGCTATTGCTTCCAGCAAGCTTTTGTTGTCGTCTCCTGTCTGGATTAATGCATTATTGCTGGTATCCCCACAGCCTACTCATAGCCCCAGAGTGTTCCTCTTAAAACCCAAGTCAGTCATTTCATTTAAAATCTCCATGGGCTTCCCATGTCACTAAAACAAAAAGCCTTTTGTTTCACAGTGGCACACAAAGCTGTCATGATCTATTTCTTGTTCTTTGTTGTGTCTGCAGTGCTAAGAACAGTGCTCAGCAGGTACCAGGCAGTCAGCAAGTATTTGTTGAAAGAATAAATTTATAACATACCTCATTGTTTACAAAGTGCTTTTGTATCTATTCTTTGGTCATTTATCTTTATTATAGTTTCATGATGCAGGGATCATTATATCTGTCTTGCATATCAGTAAAATGAGGCTGAGGGAGGGAGATGCCTGAAGTAACATAGCAAGTTGATGGCAGAGGCCAGACTAGCTCAAGCTGGAGCTTTCTGCTCTGCAGGTGGCAAAGCATGAAACTGACAAAGGCCTGGACAAGGAATGTCAACTCAGTAATCTAGATAATAGCCAGACTGTTGTAAAGATTAAATGATGTAATGTAAGGCAGTTAGCACAATGCACAATGCATAAGAAATATAAGGCATTGCTATTACTTTTATTATGAAATTATTAATACAAGTTGTTGATGCTAGTATTTGGAGGGGGTGGGGGTAGGGGGGGAAATGGCCAGAGATAACTTAGGAAAAGTTTCAAAAGCAAAAATGACCTGCTGGGACTGTTTGCTCTATGTACATTAAAATAATAATATAAAGTTTATTCAGAAACATTTTTTTAGTGAGACAGTCATTAATTAAAACTCTTTCCCTGTCTCACAAAAAGGTGGATTATCCCTTTTTCCTATACCTGAAAACAGTTGGGCCAACTACAGAAAGCCCAGAGATGTGCAGATTAGAGAGGAAGAAAACTGGGTAAAGAAACGTGAATCTTAAAAAGGAGAGAGATGAAAGGGAATAAAAGGGTGTGGGTGGCCAAGAGTTGATAGAGTATGAGGTAAGATGCAAGAGACAGAAAAGGATATTAGGTGGGGAGGAGGAGGAATAAAGGAGAAAAGGAGAAAGAGTGGGGGAGAAAACAGACTGGGTTTTATGCCCTCTATTTATTAGTCTAATAATAGTCACCACTTACTGAGTGCTTATTATGTGCCAGGCACTATTTGGGGCACTTGTAGTACCTCATTCAGTATTCCTGTGGTATGATCGTTCCTGAGCAGCTCCTCTGCCCTGCTCGGGTTTTACATTCCTGCCCATTGCTGTGTGACTTTCAGTGCCTCCTAGTGAACGACATCCTATCCTACTGATGTTGACTTTACTTGTGACTAGCATTGGCCAGCTGCATGTGAGTGGACATGGAGTATATCTGTCTCAGAAGAGGCTCTGAATCACTGTTTCTGCCACCAATCTGTTTTTCCCTCTGCCTCGAGAATACTGTGTCCCAAGTAGGGGCTGCTCCTTCAGTCTAGGGCCCAGGAAAGATGACACATAAGCAGAGACACACATGCCCACCCACAGCCTCCTATGTAACTTGGGAGAGAAATAAATGCTCTGGTTTTAGCCACTGAGGTTTTTGATGTTATTTGCTACTGCAGCAAACTTGACTAATATACCTCCTACAACTTTAACATATAGGAACTGTTATCATCCTCATTTTACAGATGAGAAAATGGAGGAAAGTAACTTGCCTAAGATCACACATTCACAAGTGAGAGCCAGGCTTTGAAACCAGTCTGGCTCCAGAGCCTGCACTTTCAACCTCTGCATAATAATATCTCTCAAATGGGATTCCAGGTTATTGTTAAACAAATTAAAGTATTGAAAATGGGCATGCATGATATTTATAAAACACAAAGGAGTGCTGGGGAGAGAGCGGGAGGTATGGACAGTCAGGGAAGCAAAGTTAGGCTGTGCCTCCACTTGCTCCTAACAGCAAGTCCTTCTAGGGAAACTGGGCATAGAGATCAAATCCCATAATGCCTGGGGCTTCTCTGGAAAAGACACCCAGCAGTGTGCCTCTGAGCTCTGTGGTGTTTGAAGGGTTCGTTCTAGAAAGAAGAGGCTTCTGGGCTGAGAAGAGGCCTGCCCAGGCAGCTTTCTTTTACTATGGCTTTGTACCCTGCATCCACATTAACCTACATGAGCACGTGTGTACACACACACACACACACACACACACACACACACACACAAAGCACTATCACAATGGGGAGTGTGGCTACCTTGGGTCTGCATTTGGCAACAATGTGAGGGATGCTGTGTGGCCCAAGTGCAGTAATGAGATGGGTCCACCTCCCATGAAGGGACCCTGAACAATAGTTCTATCAAGCCTGAGACCTTGCTTTCTGTTTCCTCTGAGTTCTCTGGGAAAGGAAGCTCTGGGAATATCCATTTCTGGGTTTTCAGAAAACATCTGTGTTAAAAGCTCAGCCAGGAGGGAGCAGAGCCCCGCCTGGAAAGCTGAGTCCAGGGGCAGGTCACCAGCTGGCTTTCTCCTAGACAATGGCAACTCCTGGGGTCTAAACATAGTGCTTGCATTTAGCTGTTTTTATACTTGGAACAGCTTGGCTTTGACTGTGTTTCCTGCCTAATCAGAGCTGAGGGGCAGAGGGACTGCTGCCCAGCAGCCCACCAGAGCACCTGACAAGGATATATCCCCCACTCCCCTGCTCCAGCTGCCCTCCTGCCCATGCTGGCAGTGTGCACTGTGGGCTCTTCCACAAATCACCTGGTCAGACTGGCTAAGTCTTGGGCTTTGTTTTGCTGGGACTAAGGGGCCAGATGTATTCTGGGTGAACACGCCAGCTTTGTTTTGAGAATAGGGAAGTCTTTAATTCATTTTCTGGTAAACATCCCAAGCAGGTAGCACATGGTTGTGACCATGAGAAAAACAAGCTATTTTTTTATTCCTTCTGGTAATTTGTTCTGGCCTAATCATCCTGTTTTTCCTGAGTCCAGTTGTTCTTTTGCAATCATGTTGATTTCATCTTGTGTTTATTATTTTCTCTGGTTGCTGAGCCCTGGCCTGGGAGGGCTGCCCTGTTTTGGGAGAGGATGCTCTATTACAGGAATCTTCACTTTATCTTTGGATACATTTGTTACCTGAGATACTAGTTAATGAAGGAGCATCTGAGAAATACTGTAAGGTCTGTGGAGAGAAAAACAGGGAGCTCTGACAAACCAGCAGGAAACCACAGAGCCTCACAGAGAAAGTCTAAAATTGTGGTATTGCAGGGAGCTGAATTAAGCAGCTTTTCAAATTTCCTCTGAAAAGCAAATGTAGTGTTGATAAAGATTTGCTAACCCCTCAGGTGATTGTAGAAATGTACATTTACACTTTTCCTGTACAATTCCCTTTTTCCTGTGTTAATATTTTTCTTAGCTATGATATTCATAAGTTAATTTTGATAATGTCTATTTTAAAAGTGACACTTATCTAGACAGGTCTTAAATAATATTGTAACAACTGCAACTCCCCCCCAACCTCCCCCGCTCCCAAAACAAAACAAAATAAAACAAAACAAACCAAACCAGCATGTGCTTACAGAGGGGCTCCTGGTCCTATGGCTCCCTATGCCAGGCCCTTTCCTGCTGGCGGGTGTCTCTTGGGCTGGAATGCCACACACACTGTCTTAACCACTGGGACTCAGCCCCGGGCCTCCCTCCAGGGACCTTCACTGGCTCTCTGCTCTGCTGGTCCCCTGACCCTCTGGGCATCTCCCCTGCTTCTCCCGACGAGGAGACCCCTGAACATGGGGTGGACTGTGCCTCTGTCTTTGTCCCTCCAGGGCCAAGCAGAAGCCTGGGACAAGGCAGTCACTCAATTCCTATTGAACAATAGATGGCAGTTGTCCTAGACCCAGGGTTGTAAATTTGGGCTAAGTAGTAAAATGACCTGGAAAGACATGTTTGTTTCCTACCCTCTCCTAGGCCTTGCTGCTATCCCACCTGAGCCCCTGCCTGGAAGATTCCTGAGGTCCTCCTGATGCTGAGGGTCTGTGACTTGGGGGGTGATTCTAGTGTCCAGGCTGCTCACAGAGCCGACCAATGGCTCTTCCTCTGTGCCTTGTGGCCTCCTCTGTTCTCAGCCTCCTCACTGATCCCCAGGATATGTGCAGAAATGAAGAGTCATGTTGGCATAGAGAGCAGTGCTGGTGCTCAGATCTAGCTCCTCTGCCAAACCCAAGCCACAGGCACTGTAGGATAAAAGTTTCAGAAGTTAGGGCTGGGGGTCAGGGTGGACACACAGAAGCAAAAGGAAGCTTGATCCTGACGCCAGTACAGCACACCTTTATTGAGCACCTAGAAAATTGTGCTGCTAAAGGAAAGCAGACAACAGGAACAACTCTGTGTGCCTGTGATGATGACGCCAGGAAGGGGACATCCTGGCATGAGTTCACCCTGAATAGTGGGTCCACATGGCACGGCTGCTCCTAAGCTCTGTTCTTTATGGGCACTGATGATGAGCCACTGCATGAAGCACAGATAAAAATCTCACCCTTATTTGGAAGCCTTCATGGTTCTTTCCTTTAACTATGCCATCCACAGGCCCCAGTGGGAAAGGAATTAGGTTTTCAGCTTGCCGACAAACATTTCATAAGACTGATGTAAACTGTTGCATAGTTTTGTAAAGGCCTTCTTGTTCATCCCAGAAATTCTCCATCAGCTGACAAACCCAAATTGTTCAGTCTCTGGCCCCAGGAAATTCAAAGTCCTTTCTCCTCAAACTGACATTTCTCTTTATCCCACCGCTTTGATGGGAAGTGTTGATAGCAGAGGCATGCAAGCCCAGAGGGCAACAGTGAAGACAGGGGCTGAGCACTGCGTTCCTGAGCCACTGCCTGGCAGCCTCTGGACCCTGGACTCTTGTGCACATGGGGTGTCATTCTTCCAATGCCACATGGGTCATCTCCACGTGATCAAATTGGCATGCTATTTTTGCAGTGAGCTCTTTATGAGAGTTCCTTCAGATCTTGCTGAGGAAGTTCAGAGCTAGTGCTGCAGAGAAAAGATGAGATGCTCGTAGTCGTATTCCTGGTCTGACCTCTGGCCCCGGGGTGCTGGGCTGTGTGAGGCTCAAGGGGTGACATCAGGAACTTGGAGGCCAGGGACCAGGGATGCCATGGTGACGTGATGGCTGGGAGCAGGGCATATCCCATACCTGCTGGCAGCCCCCGTTTTTCCCAGCAGAGGTCCCCAGTGGCAGCATGAAGTGAAGGCAGGCAGGGGTCTTGTGGTTCATGTGGCATGGGGTCAGGGGCTGTGGCCCTGCAGGAGCTCTGAATCAGGCACTGGGAAGGCAGAGGGAGCCCATGCCCAGGGGCTGGGTCAGGTACTGTTCTCCTCAGCAGGAGAGGTGTGGCGTGAATGGGACAGGCCACACAATGTGGCTGATGCCATCTTTAGGGCTGCTCACTGCCCAGACCAGCCTCTCATGCAGACCCCTCGCAGCAAGTTCCTGCTACCCAGTTCTGTGTCTGAATCCTACGAGTGCTCACCTTGGAGCCAAGAGCCAGGGTCTTGGGACTCGTGGTACTTAGGCGGGTAGACATGTGAAAGCACGAGTGCTGGGTTCCTTTGGCGGCTAGTAATCAGGGTGACCGATCAGGGCCCGGCTACCAGTACTCAGTGTGTGCTGGCTGCTGGTGGCATTGGAAGAAAAGGGCACTGGCTGGCTACTTGGCCTGCACCAGCTGCTCCAGGCGCTGCAGCATTGTCCGACGCAGGGCTTGGAACCTGGAGGGAGACACAGCCAAAGGGTCTCACCGACACTCCAGGGGACGGAGAGGGGGTGCAGAGCAAGGGAGCCATGGATGCCTGGGCTAGGAGACACATAGCTCTTGACTGGCTGATTAGCGCCACCACCTGTCTTTCGCCAAAGAGAGGGAAGAGCCAGGCCCACACCCTGTGGCACCACTGGCTGCTAGAAGCAGTCAAATAGGGCTGCAGACCCTGCCAGGTTTCAAAGCCGGATGCTGCCGTTTCTATTCTAAAGACCGTCCAGTACAGACAGGAGCAGGCTGGAGTGGACGGGGCACAGAGCAGGGACCTGAAGTCTACATTGAAGCCTGGGCTCTGTAATAACATGTGCTGCAAGCTTCCTCATCGTGGCCTGCTTCCTCTCTATACCCCAAACACACCGACCAGGTGGCCCCCAGGTTCCTTGCAGCTCCCGTATCTTACAATGACACGCTGACTGCATGACAGACTGTTCCCTCTGACTGGAGTCTCTGTTGACTGCCCGCATGGGGCCTGACTGCACTGATGGAAGCCTGGGGGCATGGGGCTGGGGGTGCTGTGGCTTTCCAAAGATCATTCAGCCAGAAGCCAGAATCCAAGCCAGACCCCACCTGTAGGCCCCAGCAGTGAGCAGCTTCCCTCCTTCCCTTCCTAAGAGGGACCCTGACCTCAGCCCTGGCTGAACACCTTCCATGTCTTTCCATACTTCACCCTGCAGAGGGAGAGACAAGTCATTGAGACGTGCAACCTGGCTAACCTCACATAGCTGGGCCCTGCTGGAGCTTCCCAGGAGCAGGCAGGTAACATCTGCTCACCTTTCCATTGAATGGTCCCTTGCACCTGAAAACATCAGCTGATGCAAGGAGTTCCAACAACCACTCCTTTTCAACAGGCTCAAGTTCCTGCTAGCATGCAAGGCCCAGGCCAGGCTTTATGTGCACCCAGCAGGTCCTCTCTGTGGCTGTTCCTCCAGAGCTGTGTTACCAGCAGAACTCACAACCCTGGTCCAGAGCCCACCCACACTCCTGCCTGATTCTCCTGCGATTTTCAGCAGCTGTGTCCCTCCCATGCTGGTGAGGTGCTGAGGCTGAAAGGGCAGTCTGGGCTGCGTCCCACCATTTTGACGGGCTGTCACCCAGCTTGGTGTCAATACCAAGCAGTAGGCCAGAGGGCTGTGCTGGGAAGCCAGGGTTGGCAGGCCTCCCTGAGCTGTGCAAGGGCCCCGGGCACACCTGGAGCAGAGAGCTCGTCCAGCCCAGCCCTGGGTGCTCTGCCCTGCAGAATTGCCCTGATGGTCAGGACCCATGACTGGCCCTTTAAGTGCTGCTTACTTCATGGTCAGTTTGATTATTTCTCTTTCCTCCTCTTCTTTTAATTTTTCAACAAAACTGTCCAGCACCGGCATTTCAAACTTAATGTACTGAGCGACCTAGAAAATCCAAGAACATTTTAATGTGCTTTAAATTAGAAGCCAAAAACATGTTTTCTTTTCCTCATGGCTTCCACAGTGGCCAATTCGGTAATTTCTTGTATCCATGGAAGTGGCGGCCCCTCATTCCACCCACCCCCAATACTGCTCTTTGTGTACCAGGACTGGACGATGAAGCCCATGCTTACCTCAAAGCAACTATTATCCCTGGGAGAAAAGATTAAGCTAAATATTAGGAAAAGCATTCAATAGTGAGCAGAGTCACACTGGGTGTTCTCCAGGGTGGGGGTGGGGAGTGGTGGGAACTCCATGGTTTCTAACAAAGGAATAAAAGTGCACTGACCCTTGGGACACGGGGTCACTGGGCCTTCTCCTTGGCGTTCAAACCCTATAGGTTTTTTCTTGTCAGGGGAGTTTGGAAATGTGCTCATTGCCTGAATAGGACTCAGGCTGTGGTAAGACTGAGATGCCTGGTTCCCTTCCATAGGACCTAGTTAGGCCCCAGTTAAGATGCCCTGTGTGAATCTTTAATGTAATAACAACAAAACACACTGCAATGAAGGAAAAGGTTCTAACTGACGAAGGGGAAAAGCACAGGCCGTGGCGGACTAGAACCCAACTTCTTTTCCCTGAAGTCAGCGGATGGAGCTGGTGGTGGCTGGCAGGCAGAGGGAGGGCTGCAGCCACCTCTGTGCTTGGGGCCCTTTAGGACAGCTGTGAGGTCCCTGGCGACAGCACCTTAGAGGGCTCTGGCAAGGTCACCTTCGGAGGCCCTGGGCGACCCCCTACTGTCAGCCAGTGCCCGTCTCGGGAGCTAGACCCCCAAGCCTCAGCCTCTACTCACATCATGGGGAACTTCTTCGCCCAAGTCGGCTTCCATCAGGAATATCCTGGCGATCTTCTCACATGGCCCGTGCAGGATTCTGGATATCAGCGGGTACTCACAGTCTTTCAGCTTTGTCCGCTCTGAAAAAACAGGTGGTTTACAAAATTCGTGGGGCATTGGGATTGCCTCTCTGTGTTCCAGGACAGTAATATGATAAAAGACGGATGTCCAGGGGCCCCTGTGAACCTTCTCCAGACCTCGCTGAGAACACTGCCCTGAATGATGTGTAATCATGACATTCGGTAAAGGCCCAGCTTAGAGAATAACAGTCACTGAGGAAGCAGGGAGAGGGGAGGGCAGACATGGGGAGGCTGGGCCTGCTCAGTGCCACGCGAGTGCTGCAGAGAGGAACGTGCAGGGTCTGCGACAGCACTTCTCTGTGGCTGAGGGGCTTCAGCTCCACCTTGCAGACTCCGACACCCTCACCCCTCCCGAATGAGTGAGGCTGGAGGTGGTGGCTTCCCCTGTGGCTGCGGTGGGATTCTGAAAGGAATGACAAGTGCGCCTGGGTGTGGGCAGGGGAGGGGCATTCATGGTGGAGGCACAGCGGGCCCCAAGACCAGGAGGGTCAGCTGCCTTGTGCCCGCCTCACAAGCCAGCATGGCCTCAGAGAAAGAGCATGATCAGTGAGCCTGCCAAACGGACAGAGGCTTTTGTTCTTATGAGCTGGACAAAAGGCAGACACTTACCCCCAGACTCGTGAGCGATGTAGAGTGCAAACTCACTGGGGCCATTTTCCACCTGCACGTGCAAACACAGGAAGTTAGACCACAGCTTTTCAGGACAAGGGAGAAAGAAAGAGCCCTGGCAGTAACCACACACCCAGTGCCACACACACAAGTCCCCAAGCCTCTCCCCCACCAGAACTCTCTGCTTCAAATCCCAGAGATTCCAGCTCAGTGGAGGAAACCCTGCTAGACCTTCTACCTAGGGGCCACGATGGCTTCCCCCAGCCTTCACCAACCCCCTGCCCCGACACAACAGGGACAATGCTGTTAGTGGCCAGACTTACTCGAAACTTGTTCAGCAGCAGGGTGAGCACCTGCAGGGTAGTCATGGTGCTGTTGACCCTCACGTTGGTCACGGACCCGTATGCAGGAGTAAACACGGAGGTCTGTACAGGGAGAGGGGCCGTTCAAAGCAGGGCCAGAGGGGACACGCAGGGTCTGGGCACACTGTCAGTTAGATGATGCTGAGGAAACTGGAGTAGCCGGTGAACCTGGGCTCTGGGAACACCTGTGCCTGTCCACTCACACAGATCCACACACAAGCTATGCCCAGATCTGGGTGCCCTTGAGGAAGCTGTAATAGCTCACATCTTATTGAGAACTAACTGCAAGAAAGATGCTTGCAAAGCTCTAAGGGCCAATTCTCAGATCCCAGGAACCAATGCTGCGGAAGTAATTCTCAAGGGGTGGTGGGGGGACCAGTCTTTCCCTCACTCTTTCTATCCATCAAATCGCTAAGTGTCTGTTGATTCTAAGACTGAAAGTTCTCAAATCTGTCCACTTCTCTCCTTTCTCCGGGTGGTGCCTGACTAGAGGCCCTCAATTCACACTGAATCAGCCTCCCAACTTTTCCCTCCCCAAGTTCAGCCTTTTCAATCTATTCTCCACACTGCTGCCCAAAGGAACAACCTTTTGAAAACCCTGCAACTCAGAATGTGTTCTGGACCAGTTACCCCAGCAGCTACACGATCAGGAGGCCTGCGTGAACTCTTCCTCAGGCCCTCTGGAAATCTGCATTTTGAGGAGAAAGCCAGGCAATGCTGTCTGTACAGTACAATTTGAAAGCAGTCATAAAGCCCAGTTCTAGGTAAAAGTACTGAAGGCTTCCCTCCCACTGCCTGCACAAGCCACCTGCAGCCCCTCTCACTGTATGCACAGGTGATAGGATGATTCCCTCCCACACACCCTGTGCTCCTGCTGCATGATTACTTCACAGTTTGGGGATCCTTTATATTCTAGCAGGTATTGTCTTTGCCTGTGACACACCATATGTGAAGCCAACCAGTGCACTGCCTGAGGCTTAGTAAGTCCTCAGTGAACACTAGCCAGGTAGCAAACTTGTTAAGCACTTTATATATAATTCTTACTTAATCCTCACAACAGCCCTTTGAAGTACCTGTCACTTGTCCCCTTATCTTAGAGAGGACATGGAGGCTTGGCAAGGTTAGGTAGCTTGTCGAGGTCACCCACTTAGAAAGAGCAGAGCCACCCAAAGCACCATGTGGCACTGGGGCCTCCCTGTGTGTCCGATTCCCCTGTGGGTGAGCTCCTCCTCGCTTTCCAAAACCAGATTTACCGTATTCCCTCATGTATAAGACACACCTTAATTTGGGGGCCCGAAATTTGAAAAAAATGTATTACATAAAGTTATTAAACTCGAGTTTTATTCATCACAAAATTCATAAAACTCCTCATCACTTGTGGGAAATGCAAGTAAAAAAAACTACAACCATTGTAATAAGACGCACCCAGTTTTTAGACGCCAAATTTTTCAATAAAGGGTGTGTCTTATACATGGGGAAATACGATAAATTCACACATTCTCCTGTATGGCCCTAGCTGGTCTCCAAGTACCCAAGCCAAACACAAATCTAGACCTGCCTTCTACACAACTGAGATGCAGGAAACATCTGGGGTACATGGAAAGCCAGAGTAGGCTTTCAGTTCCCAATAAATATGGACTAAAAAGAGGAGCCAGGCCATTTTAAGAAGAAAGGTCTTGTCAAGGAGACATTGCTAGTGTTTCTTCTGCCTGAAGCCTTTTCTCAAGATGATACCAACCAATTCCAAGTGGGGACAAAGGAGGCTGCCTTCCCATCTCTAACCACAATGTTTTCCCTCTGATCAAACATGTGAATCTGATAAGCGAGGGCAAAGTAGGGGGAAGGGTACCACATTTTCCCCAGACCATAAATCAAACCAATATTATTGTGAATCAGAATAGCTTTGGAAAATGATTGAGTGAAGTGACCATGTACAGTTCTAAGAAATAAAGGCTAGAATAACAAATCCAGAAAGTCAATTCTAGGAATTAAAAAAAAAGTTGCCTGTGACTCAAATACTCTGTCACCTAATTTTTAAGAACACTGATTTTGAATGGATGTAGAGCAAGGTGAGAATGAGGGCTTTCTTTTTGGAAGTCCCTTACTCACCCTGGATATGTGTGAATCAACTGTCTAACATGTATAAGATACTGGTTCATAGTCGAGATACTGGAAGGTAGTCAGTTTCCTAGAATAATGGATCCACACTCTGTGGGTAAATCTGTTACTAGGAGGGAAAGCCACCCTGACTGGGTTACAGGTAGGTGTCCAGTGCTGGGCTGGCTGGCTAAGGAGCTGTTCCTGGCAGGGTGGCTCCAGTAGACATGGGAGGCTGTCTGATGAGAGCCCTCGCTGCTCATTTTTGTTCATTTCAAAGGCTACAGGGTGCTCAGACATCTGCATGTCCCTGCAATGGCTAAAATAAGGTTTAATGTGCCAGACACACCTCTAAGAGATGAAGAACTCCCTTAGAGGAGGGGTAAATGTACCAAAGATAAACCTCACTATTTGGTACCTGAAGTCATAGAGCAAAAGACTCCTGCTTCATTTTTATTTTTTTTTTGAATGTAGAACCAGAAAGATCCTAAAACTACACATACATATATTTTTTAATTTCAAAATAATCCCTTAAAATAACATATCACTATGTATTCGAATACTAGCAACTGGTGCTTACTTAATGCCTACCGGTGCTTACAGATTAAACCTTTTGGAAACAAAATTTAAAGAATCCAAATCCTTACAAGGATTTACTACATGTAGTCCTTCTGCTAACTAAATCATTCTTCATCTCTGGCTGCCCCTTGACTCTTTCAGGAAATGCTACTCAGATAGTCCTGGGTTTTCCTGGACTGAGCAAAGATAAGCTGTGGTCACTCATTAACCCTTACTGTAAACCTAGCTGGGAGTTCCTGATAATAGAGCAGGGTCCCATCAGCTTGCCTGGCTGAACCCTCATCTGAAGTCCAGGGCACCCCAAAAGCAGTTTGAATGGCCCCCTAGCAGGCCTACTCTGTGTGGCTGTTCTTCAGATCTGACCCAAGGCCCCCCTACCCCTCCTATTAGTCATGGCTTGTCAAGACGGGCTGTGGCTTCAACTGGAAGCCTCTGCTTCCATTTCCCAGTGCTGCAGGATGTGGTCTGTTACAGGACACTCCATCTAGGGCCTCACCCAAACTGCCACTCATGCCATTTATAGCGACAATCAACTTCTCCTTTTATAGTTCAGTTTGTTTATGGAATGATGTTATCTAGGGAAGGAGGTCTCTTCCTGAGGTTAGTACAATACATTCACAGACAAAGGGCTAAGTGCTGGGAATCAGGAGCTGTGCAGGTTCTCTGGACACAGACATGTGCCCCTGAGCATACCTCAGCTGAGGGGGCTCAGACTACCCAGCAGGCATGCCAGCAGGGTACATGATGTTCTCCTGAAGCTATCAACTGAGCTCAGGGGGGAACCTCATAGAAAACTGTCTGACTGAAGATAAATATGGCATAGACCAGGGGTCAGCAAACTGCGGCTCTCGAGCCACATGTGGCTCTTTGGGTACGTTCCATCTCAAAAGTTTGCCGACCCCTGGAAGAGCCAATCCTGTCCCTCGAAGTTTTGCGAGACCTATAAAACAAATGAAATCATTATGTGAATAATATCCTTTAAAAATTTTATAAATGAAACTATGATAGTTTTATTTTCATTTTCAATTTTACGTGAGAGCCACATGTATGTACCCAAAGAGCTGCATGTGGCTCGCGAGCCGCAGCTTGCCGACCCCTGGCATACACTAAAGGCAGACTTAACAGAAAACCACACAACTTGTGAGACTGGATTAACAGTGAGTCTGCAGTAGAAAAAATACAGGCTTTTGGGGTCATGAACTGGAATACTATTTTGATGTGACTTTGGGCCAGATATGTCCCCCTGAGTCCTGTCTCTCCATCAGGACATGGGCATGACCACAGCTGCCGAGGTGCGATGAACTCTGACTTGGCCATCGCGGGGCCTTGCCTACAGAAGGCCCACCTGTTGTGCCCATGTCCTCAGCTTTGAGGCCTAGGGCACAGGCAAGACTGGGACGTCACCTTGTGGTTGTAAAAGTGCCCATTGATGGAGAATCGGTGTCGCCGGATCCTCTGGGCCTCACTGGGGACGCGGCATCTGGGCCTCTGTATCACACAGGCCGCGTCGCTCTTGGTCCGCATCAGCTGTGGGGTCTCCTCGTCCTCCTCCAGGGGCTCTGCGGTGGGAAATGGATGACAGGCTTAGGCCCAGGGGGAGTAGCGGTGATGTTCCAGCAGTTCTTCTGTGTTTGGGAATTGGCTCCCTGGGGCCCCCTGGTAGCACAGTCCAGCTTGGGTGATGCCCAGTTTGCAGACAGGGAAGGTGACCCCCAGATGGGATAACTGTTAACCATATCACACTGCCATAAGCCTGTGGGCCTTCATCTCCAGGCACCCAGGCAGGTCTTTGGCATCTCAGCTCTGTCCTCTGAGCACCCACTCGGGGACAGGTCCTTCACTGAGTGCAAGGGGAGGGCACAAAGAGGACAGACAAGCAGTTATGAACCCCAGAGTATGAAAAAGAGGCCCTAGAAGCCCACAAGGCAAGAGGGCTCCACACCCTTTGCTGATATCCCCTCCTTCTATAACACAGCGTGGTGCAGGGGACTCGGACCATTGACAAACTACGTTGCCTCTGCTTCCTTTTCTGTGGGTGAGCAGTCAAGGAGAATGCCTTGTACTGCTCCTGCAGACAAATGAAGACACAACTTGATACTCCACAGAGCTGCTCTTCAGAGATGGTGGTCATGAGCCAAGCCCCTCCCTCCTCTCCTACCAGGATTAGTAAGTCAGGGCCCTGGGCAGCTCACAGCCCTGCTCACCTGAGTTGTCTCCGGAACTCTCAGCCCGGTGCTCGGCGGGCTGAACGCATGGCTCCTGGGCAGTGACCCTGCCATCCTGAAGAGGTGGCTCCTTTCTGAAACGAGGCAATCAAAATGCTCAGAGGTTGCTGACAGAGAAAAGGAATCCAGGCCAAAGAGAGGAGGCCAGCTGCCTTGGTGGACATGACACAGGTGAGAAGCAGGGCATGCTGGGTTGAGGCTGGGATTTCACACCAAGGGAGTCAATGTGAAATATTAAAAGAAAAGCACAGGATTGCCACAGGTTCTGCTGGAAGGAGATAAGAGTCTGCCCTGCAGACCTGAATGGCCTATGCTTGGTCAAGTTGCATGCACACATGAATACCACGGTGCCCGTGTGTGCCACAGCACCAGGCTGAGGCAGGCCAGTGTCTGTGGTCACATGTTGAGTGAACTCTGGCATCTCTCAGAACTGGAGTAGAGCAAGACAAGGGCAACCTTGAGGGGGCTGATCTCTGGGCCTCTGGGCTGGAGAAGGAATGGGTGGGATGGGAACTAGCCCCATAGTATGAGGGAGCAGGGGAGGGGCCGACAGAGTAGCTGAGTCCATGCTGAGAGGCCTCTGAGGGTCCTGCTGTCTGTGACTGCTTGTGTGACTGCTTTAGCCCTTGCAGTGGGAAACGAAGCTCACCTGTAGCCTTTCTAAGAAGCCCATCTGAATGAACTTTATGCTTTAAGTCTGTGGGGCTCAAAATTCGCTACTAGTGTCCAGGGACACCTGGGGGTTCACTGGGGGTGTCAACGTGCTAAAGGTCCTCGGAGCGGCAATCGTACTTGATTATTTGAAGAGGAAAGAGTTTTGAACTTGTGCTACTTAAAAGGATTTATTACATGTAGAAGCAAGCAAAATTCAGTGCTCACTGCCCTTTATTGGGGTGAGAGGCGGGAAGAGGTAAACATTAAACAGTTCGCAGGGAACCATTTCATGCTGATCAAAACAGTCTCCTGATATTTAAATACATTTGATATTAAATTCTGATAACTTTATAAAAATAAATTCTGATATTAAAATAGAAGCAGTAGGAGGCTAAATCTGTGTGTATTTTTAAGACAGAATAGGAGATGCTGAGAAATGTTCGCCTTGCTGAGGGACCTCCCCTGTCTACAGCCCTCTCTCCTTACACAAGGTGGTTCATGTGAATGTTTGAGAAACACAACTGGAGGTGATGGGAACCTGGAAAATCCTCCAGGAGGGAAGTGACTTGGTTGTCATCTAGAAAGACAACCTTGGGGTGAGGCTGCATGTCTGCAGGTAGGCTGTGAGCTGAGGCAATCATAAGGTGACAGGGATCAGGCTGGGTTATGCTTCTGTCCTTGCGTCCCATCCAGGAGTGGGGCATTTGCCCTGAGGCTGATGACACCCCCCAACACTCCAGACAATAAGCTCAGGTTGAACAGGTGTCGTGGAGGCCGCCTGGCTTCCCCTTCCCTCCCACCCCAGCTCAGCACTCACTGGTGGCAGCTGGGCCGGCTGGGCATCCAGGAGGCTGAGGAGAGATGCACTCGCTCCCTGTCATCCTGTATCTGGAGCCGGATGGGCCGTCTCAGTCCCCAGGCAATGTTGAGGAGCCCTTCGATGATCAGAGCCCCTTCTTCCTGTGAGGACCCACACAGGTCAGCCTCTTCCCCCAGAACAGCTGCCCTCAGGGGTCACTGCAACCCTCCCCAAGTCCCTTAGGACTCAGCCCTTCAAACGTGGGATGCCCTGGACACTTGAGCCTCAAACACACCCCCTCTTATTTGGGGTCCTGTCCTCCCCGGGGGGAAAACCCATTTATACATGCTCCAAGGCACAAAGCCATGGCCCCAACCAGGGGAAGCCCAAGGCATGTCCTTCCACTGCTCAGCCCACGCCTGGCCAGGGGCATGGCCGGGGACAGAGTAACTGAGTCAGGTGTCCCACAGGGCCCCAGCTGCTGCCCGCAGGCACATCCACACAGTGATGAGGAAAGACTCCAGGGAAGCATGGCTGTGCCAATATCAGGGCACCTCTCAGCTCACCACTGTTCCTGGGTTGGGGTCCTATGGTCACCAGGTCCTACTGGGAACCTGCCAAGAGTGTGGATTCCATGCTCACCAGAGCAGGGGTGGTGGCTCTTTGGAGCTGGGTGTCAGCCTCACCCTTCTCCCCACACTGTTCACATTGGTGGGCTGAACCCACCCCCATATTTCCAAGTTGGCTTCTTTCCTAAGGGCAAATCTTATTTTTCTCACCACCTGGGACATGGCCAGCCCACAACCCACTTGGGCACACACACACTCAGAATATCTACAACAGCTCTCATCCATGTCCCCAACCAGTTGATTTCCCTATGTCTGTGAATGGCACGGCTACTCCCCCACCACCAAACCCTGAGGTCCTAATGACTGATTCCTGTGGAGCACCCACCCTCAGCCACCTCCCACGCTTCCACTCAGGTCCTTGATTCTGTTTCTCTGACCTATTTCAGGTTCCTGTCTGTTTGTGCCCACCTCCAGGCTATCTGTGCCCTGATCAATGATCCCCACATGTGTGACCAGCCAGGCTGCTTTGTTTGCACTCTCGGAGCACCTACCAGAAACCTCAGCCTCACCCTTCCCCAGAGTGTGGTCTTCCCAGCTACCCGCTCCTAATCTGCTTTAGTACTAATCTTTGGACAAAGAACTTTAAACATAATTCTCCCATTGGTATATCTTAAGCACTGTGTCAGAGTCACACATTCTATTTCCTTCTGCTCGTTGGCACTGAAAGCTCTGTGAGAACAGGGACCTTATGGGGAATTCACATTCTAAGCAGGGCTTACAGAGGTGTCCTGCAGTGTCGACTTCATGGCTAGTAATGGTTTAAAACACCCTGCTGTCCACAGAGAAAATAGTTCCGCTCTGTTTAAGGTTATCAAAAATACACACAGCTTTTGGAGTTGCCTTGCACAATTTGCTAAAAAAGAACACAAACGATAAAAGAAAAACAGAGCTATTTTTGATAACCACTGATGTTATACAGGTACAGATATGTAACTAGCCCTTCCTGTAAAGGAAAGGTTAGATCGATCCACAGGAGGTAAAGGTCAGTGTGTGTGCCCTCACCTATCCCCCTCCCACTGCCCCACCGCCCCTCAGCCGGCACCATCAGGATGGAGGAGTGGCCCTGTCAGCCTGCAGCTGTCTCTGGTCAGATCAGAGGGAGCCCAAGGTCAGAGCAGAGGGACCTCTGGGCTCTTGAGCAGCCCTCACCACATAGGTGGGGAAGTGTCAGTGGAGGCAGGACCAGAATCCGGGTCCCTGGGCCTCGAATTTCTATAAGTTGCAAAGTCATTCTGGACCCTTTAATTCTGTGTCCCAATCAACACTTCCCTCCTCAGTTCAGCCTATTGGCTAATGTGCAAATTGCTAACCAATTCAAAGAGAGCCTGAGAAGCAAAGGCCCTATGGAAGCATCTACCTAGAAGAGGCGTCAAGGTGGAAACTGCCATGTGTAACTGAAATCCTGATCCCCTGCTCTGACGCCCTGCCACGCCTTTGCCCATTAGGAATACCCCATCCAGAATGCAAGAACTTGGGACTGCCAGCCCCTCCTGCTTGCCTTGGGAGTCTGGAGACTGTCCAACAGGCACACCTCAGGATAGGATGCTGCCTCTGACTGTTTCCTGTCCCCCGCCTGCAGGTACAAGACAGGTATGTCTAGGAGGGCCCCTGGCTGAGTGGGAGAGCTGAGGTCTGTCTGACCTCAGATGCCCGCTTTTTACCAAAAGCTTTCCCGGGGTCGCCCACCTGGTCTTCATCTGCCTCCTGGGCTGGCATGCTCACCCCTGAAGCGTGTGGCTTCTAATGCTGCCCAGGTACCCCCTGGTCGCCTTGTTAGCTGCCTCTTTAGCCCATGCACAGACGCTATGTCAATCCTTCGAAGCAGAAGCACAACTGTTGCACCCTTGTTCAAACCCTGCAGTGTCCTTCCTTCTCCCTCATAAGGAAATCCAGTCTTCCGCCCATGTGGGTCAGTCATGTGGGTTCCTTGCTGTTCCCTGAGCACTTCCTTCATAGGGGCTTTGCTGTCCCATCTACCAGGATGGCACAACCCCCATCTGTTCAGATCTCAACTCAATGTCCCTGCTTAGAGAGGACACTGCTGACCTCTCTGTCACAGTGGCAGCAGCACCATCCTTTGCAGCTGTTAGCAGTGCCTGAGATGACAGCACCTATCTACTGGGCGCTGATTGACCCCCTCACCAGAAGAAGAGCTCTAAGACACAGTACTTTGTTCACTGCTGGGCTCTCTAGTCACTGGTGCATGGGAATATTAGTTAGATATCTGGGAACAAGGAAGCAAACAAGATTTCATTTGAAAGCATCACATCTGGGAAGTAGCAAAACCAAGATCCTGCACACTGCCCTTGGTCCCAGACCAAGGTGGGCAGGTCTCACCTTGGAGCAGCCCAAGGAGCCCGGCTTCAGAAGCCGCCAGCTGAGCCTGCACTGCCACATCTGGCAAGTCCTCCTCAGAGTGCAGGCCCAGGGCTCTGCTGGATCCAGCACAAGGCCAGAGTGTCTCGGGCTTGCAGGGCTGGTATATGTGCAGTGGGGAATGCCTCTAGGTGGTGGTAGCAGACCTAGGGCTGCTGGCGAGAGTCCAGTGCAGAAATATGCCCCTCCCAGTGGCCTGGGCTTGAGGTGACCAGCACTTGAGCTGTACCCACACCACCCTGCAGAGTAAACATTTCCAGTGCCTCCCACAGGCATAAACACTTCTTGCTGCAGGCTGGCAGCTGCGCCAGGCCCCGCCTGCCAAGCTGTTTTCCTCTGAGAGCCTTCCTGAGTGCTGCTATTTTGGGCCCTCGTGACAGTAATTGACGGCTGGTGGAAAAGTATAAAAGCAGCTCCCGGACCTCAAGGTTCACCAGATGGTTCAGGGAGCATTCTGCTCCGGGCAGTGGCATGGTCCTCACTGTCCTCCTCCTGGCAGTCTGAGGCCGGACTCGGAGCTCCAACTGCTGGACCCCTATTCCTCGAGTCCCAAGCTTCCTGGGGCTTCCCGCGACTGTCCTTGCTCTTCCAGCATCCCTGCTACTCCCAGGCCCCCTCAGCTACAGGTAAGACAAAGCAACTGCCGTCTGGTTTGAGATAAAACAAAAAGGCTTTGTGTATCGTCAGGGCAGTTCTCAGCCTGAGGTGCACAGCCTCACTGCCGGTTAGGCACCAGGTCTAGTTAATGGCAGAGATAGTACTTGTTGAGGGCTTTATATCACAAAGGAATTTCACACGAGGTGTCATTCCATGTGTTTCTACAAAACCTTCATGAAGCAGGTATTTACAACCGTGTTTTATGGGTGAGTAAGTGGAGACTTGGAGAGGCGACCTTGCCAAAGTTCCCCAGGTAAGGAAGGGGCAGAGCCTGGTTTTAAACCCAGGTTTACTCTGACTCCAGCCCGTTAGGCTGTGTTCTCTTATTTGTACAGGTTCTTAAACAAAAATAATGATAGTCTTATGGAATGTCAGCCGGAAGGAGAGGCCCAGGAGTTTGAGCCTAGTCTTGGATCTGCAGACTTCAAACTGTTCTCAGGCACACGATTCATACAGGCAGCCTCAGCTGAAGCGGGGTGGAGGTACAGGAGGGATGTCAGGGACACATGGTAGAACCTCACCCCCAATTCTCTGTCAGCCAACAGGTTGCTGCTTCCCTGTCACCGGCAGCCATGAGGTCCCGGCTCCTGCTTTCTGTGGTCCACCTGCCCACAATCCGGGAGAGCTGGGAGGAGAGACTGCCCGGGGGGCCTGGGCAGGAACTTCCGGCTTCCCTCAGCCTGGATGACTACATGAGGTCCATTTGTCAGCTGGCACAGCCCACCTCAGTGCAGGAAGAGTCTGCAGCCAGGGTCCAACCCAGCAGATCCCCCTGGCCATTCCGGGCCAGGGAGAAGAGCTGCTCCACTGGGTCCCTACAGGACATCACCACCCGCTTCAGCAGCCAGCAGCCTGCACTGCCTGAGGCTGGCAATGCCGACCCCCTGGACTGGCTCTTTGGGCAGTCCCAGGAAAAGCAGCCAAGTTGGAAGTACCAACCAAGGAGGACTGGCCCCTCTGCTGACCAATGGGGCCCACGCAGACAGATGGACAGCAGCAAGGCCCAGGGCGGCCCCAGAGGGAGGCTCTGTGATGCCAGGACACCGGGGCACTCTCTGGCGAGACCATCAAGGGACTGGCACCAGGGCTCCTGGGCTTCTGGGCGATACAACCAGGCCACAGCCTTCCCAACAAGCTCACGCCCCAGCAGCATCCTCAGAACTCTCTATTTGAACCTCCCAGTGATCCATGAACTCTGATCCCTCCCTAATAATGGCTTCTGTACTTCTGTATGGAGCAAACTGGTCTCCCCACCTTATCTCCCCTGAGATGGGTACTGCCTCTGGCAGGTCTGGTGGGGGGAGGGAGGGATGTCTTTCTGCAGGGGCTGCCTGCTTTGAAAATTCTGAGTGAGACCCCCTGCTCCAAATAGTGAGAACAACCTATCTCACAGGATGTGGTGTTACCAATCCCATTTGCATTGTTTCTTACTGGCTGCCTTGGGCAAGTTATTTCATGTCTCTGTTTCTCGGTTTTCATGGGTAAAAAGGGGGTCGTTAATGGGACCTGCCTCCTAAGCTGTTCTGACAAATAAATGGGATCAAATCCACACATCAGGGGCACATGTTACAAGCCCATACATGGAGTAGCTATTTTCTATGTGGGGAAACAAGGTTGTGGGGAGAGGAGAAGTGAGGTCTCAGCCCCCAATGGCTTCAGAGAGAGGCTCTGGGCACTCCCAAGTCAGCCCTTTGGCCCTCACCTTCAGAGCCCATGTTCCATGAGGCCCAAGGGAAAACATGGAGTCTCAGCAAATGCCCCCACTGTGTTTCAGGGGGACCTGCACTGAGTCACCGGGGGGTACCTCAGTGGCTCTAGCTCACAAGTCCTGTTGTGTCATCAGGTGAGTTTTCCCCAGGCTAAGGGCCAAGACAGAACCTGTGCCGGCTCAGTCTGCAGGGTGCCAAATGACTGGACCAGGTGGCCCTGTCCCCACATGTCCTCACCCCTACCTGCCTCAACCGTGGGGTGACGTGCAGGGTGTTGTCTAGTCACCCTGTTCTTAGGCAAGTCCAGGGGCTAAGGCCTCACTCCACATTTCCTAAGGCTCAGGCCAGTCTGGGCCAGTCCTGGGTCCCCCCGAGACTAGCAAACCCCAGTTCCTGGAGGCAAGCAAAGAGGTGAGGGTGAACATTAGGGGAGAGGGAGGATTTCCCTTCTCAGAGGGGCAGGCGAAGCATGAGAGAGCTCACAAGAATCAGGCCTGAGAGCCTGTCATCCTGTTCCCTGGGGCTGGCCCAGAGCTGGCTGACCCTGGTCAGTGTGGAGGGGACGGAGAGGAGAGGAGGATAGAGCTGCGACAGCAGCCAAGCTCTCAGCCTGCTTCAGCCTCCTCCATCTCCTTGCTCTGTGGACTATCAACATGTTTTCTCCTTTCCTTCCTTTTAACTTTTTTTCCATTCCTTCCTTCCTTTCTTTTTTAAAGCTATTTTTAAATTGCTCTGGGCTTTTAAAATGTTAACTGTCTTCTTTTATGTGTGTTTTGTAGGGAGGCAGAATGTAAACCATACATTTAGGAGAAAAAGTGTCATACAAGAAATTTACTCAGTTTCCTTATTTGTAAAATGGGGCCACCGACACCAGTCCTTCATACCTCACAGGAGTTGGGGAAACTGGGCAAATGAACTTGATGGAGTTATAAGCACTGCATCATTTGTCACAACCTGCGGTGTCTCTCATTGGCTCACACCTGCAGGTCCCTGACCTTCTCCAGCAAAAACGTGCAGCCTTCAGCCAGAGTGTCCTTAGGAGGAGATGGGGAGGGCTGACCTACCTTAGTGGGTACCTGGCTGGTGACCGGCTGGGCAGGTTCACTGGGCCCAGTCTCACTGCAGCCCCTTCTGTGAAGCAGCGTGAAACTGGGTCAGATGGAGGGAACGAGGATGACTTGGCCAATTCTCCCCCAAGCTCAGGAACCACACTGCTGTATTTGTGGAGGTCAGACTGGGGTGAGGAGACCCCGGGACTCTGGGCTCCTTTGCTAATAGCTCCCAGTGTGAAAGAAGTTAATGGCACCTTTAGAAGGGGACAAGAAAACTGAATGAAGTGCTTGGGACGGGGCTTCTGGCAGTGTCCCAAGCTCCTACAGGACAGAACAGCCTCTGGGAAGAAAGTTCTGGTGGTGCGGGGAGGGTCTATACAGCAATCTCACTCTCCTCCCACCCACCGCTGGATTAGGAAAGGACACAAAGTCCCACCGGGAGGTGGGGGCAGGCTGAGAAGGCTTAGGGCTCCCAGGGAATATGTCCACTGGCCAAGCACTCACCCAGAGGCCAATGGTCTGTCAACTGCCCATTGTTACTTTCTTGAGCAGGGGGCCTGGGGCAGAGGATGGGGACTTGGTGCAGTGCCTAGTAAGGAACACCAGAGGGAGCTCCGAGCCCACTGGGAGCTGAGCACTGGGAGGCGGGCTCTTGGGTTCAACGCAGGCACACACCAGGACACAAGGTCCTACTGCCTCTTGCTCACACAATTAGTAGTTAGTGATGTATTTACTTACTGATATGTCCGAGTGGTCCATTTCTCTCTCAAGATACCTACTAGTCTGGTTAAAACACTTTGCGATCTTAAAAGGTACAGCTTGCTCCCAGTCGCTCACACTTCTCATTGTACTACAAGCAAAATTATTCCAAAGGCAAAGCTCACAATAGAGGAAGCGATGCCTTGGCCTCCTGAGTGGGGACTCCCTTGTACCTAGCCCTTTGGAAGCTGAGGGAAAGTTCACAGGGAAGCACGGGCCCTGGGTGTGGCCCCTGCCCATTGACACGCACCATCTCTCCAATTTCTGTGGACCCTGGATGAGACAGTGGATGAGAAGGTGATCCAGACTGTAGCAGTCTGGCTGCAGTTGCTCCAGGGGAGGCCCAATGACAACACGGGGCGGGGGGTGGGGGGATGGTGGGCTTCTCTTCCAGGGCCCCACATGGCTGAGGGCACAACTGGTGCTGAAGCCCTCGGCAGCCTGAGGGCACCTTAGCTTGTGTGCCTGCTTAATGCTGGTGATGCTGTTGTTGTATTATAAATGTCTGTGCTCAGGCCTCGAAGCTATGCCAGCACATTTCACTTACTGCAGTGTCACCTTGTTTGATAGGCTTAAACTCTGACAGCCTCAGTCTTTTTGTCGGGAAAATGGTGGCCCTGTGTTGCAAAGCTCTTGTATTACAATAAGTACAGCAGAGGCAAAGTGCCTGGGGCCCATCTGCCCTGCCCTTGGGGCCTGCAGTGTCCAAGGAGAGGTCGGCCTGGGACAGCCCTGCAGCAAGAGCCTGAAACATAGAGTTCCCCAAAGTCCAAGAAGCCTCAGATCTGCATTCTGAGAAACTGCAGAGGCCAGGATGGGGTATGGAGGGACTTAGTGTCTCAGGAACCAGTCATGCATATCAGTGTCAGATCCATGCTTCCCATGCCTGCAGCCTAACTTTTTGGCACCTGTCACCTCTCAAAGATACACACTCCCTCAGGCTGGCACCCCTCAGCTGCTAAGGCTGTAGAAATTTCCTGAAAGGTACTTTCTGGTGCCAGGGAGATCGTCAGACCCTCACACCTTTTTTAGGGTTGGGAACATGAAAATCTCTGCCTGTGGGATTAACTTCCTACCACTGGAGGCTGTCAGGAACACCTCTTCCCCATTGTGGGGTCCCCCACTTCTCTATGTGGACTTTCCCATCACACACAAACACAGTGCACAGGTTCCAGGCTCCCCCCACGCAGCTGTTCCTACAGAGGGGGTTGTCATGGGGAATCCCAAGTGCCAAAACCAAGCTCTGAGGCCAGTGGTTCTCGAAGTCGGTCTTCCTGAGGATCCCATGGAGGCCTGGCTAAAACACAGATGGAGGATGAAGTTTCTGATTGGGCAGGCCTGAGGGAAAGAGGGCGATAAGACCTGCAGTTCTAACCAGTTCCCAGGTGACTCTGAAGCTGTGGGTGTGGGGACCACATGTCAAGAGCCACCATGATCTGAGATCAATCCATAAATGGCCCGGAGCAAAGGAACAGGGCCCAGTCAGAGGACCCTACCCTATGCTTCCAGCACAAGAAGTGAAGTGAGCCCAACTCCTCACTTAGCAGCACACTGGAGCTCAGGGTTCAGCCTGACTCACCCCAGGCCTGCCAACTATTCATCCATCTCCTATGCCCAGGGCCACACTGCTGGTGGCGGGGCATGCAGAACCAGGTGGGCACTTGGGCCCAGCTCTGGGGGCTTCCACTAAAGGAAGAAAAGAGGCAGAGAAACCAGAGGTAACAGGGTGCTGGGATCAGAGCCCTGCCGCAGCGGTAAGGAGCCGGGTCAGGTGGGGCTGGTCAGACAGGTGTCAGAGAGGCCGCTCTGAGGAGGGAAGAGTGTGAGCCCACAGGGGGTGGGAACAAGTTGTCAGGTGTGGCCCCAGGCCCTTTGCAGGGTGGGCAGGTTGAGGGAAGGGGGAGTGTGAGGTTCCTGTCACTCAGGTCATCTCAGGCAGCACAGCACTGTATGGACCAGAAGCCAGCAGCTTCCCTCTGTCCAGGCTCCTGAACCATGTGACAATGGCTTGGCCTGGCTAACCGGGTGTCTCAGGTGCCTAACCAATGCAGTCTGGCACATGGGTTCCCGCTGGCCCTCGTTTGTGCCGCTGACAGGTGACCCCCAGGTGCCTCGGGCTTCCCGGACCCTGAGGCTCACCATCTGGTCTGGGAAGTGCAGAAGGATGTATGGCTGTTTGCATTACTAAAGGAAGCAAGGATTAGTGAACAGCATGGCCTCCACCTGGAAGAGGGGTCTGTGGGTTGATGGGGGCTTGAACTGCCCATTCTCATGTTCAACAAAAGAAGGGGAACCCAGAGATGCTGGCTCTCATCAGATACAGACCAGCCAGAGAAAGTCCAGGAGCCAATCTGATCTCAACCTCTGAAATGCCCCAAACAAAAACCCCCAAGTAAGACTCCCCAGCAGGCTTTACAAATAAATTGAGTTAGACCAAGATGGGGGCCAGTGCTCTGACCTGGGTTCCCCTGTGAAAGGTCTAAAGCTTCTGGATGGTGGCTAGACCAGGCCTCCACTTGGTCTCCCCAGTGAGTGGCTCCCCTAGCGTGGGCCCTGCTGGTCACTTCCTAGAATCCAGCCGGCGCCACAGCCTGTGTTTGGCCTACAGACGTGTTTTGTTTAGCCCAACTGGGATTTTGCAGTTTGGGAAATTCCACATGAAATGGAAGATAGCTAGCTTACTTTGAAATACCAGGAAGCATCTGACTGTGCCAGCCTAACCCACGGTCCTGCACAGCAGCAGCGAGGCTTATCTGATGGGCAGGCGACGGTCTGCAGATGGGACCCTGGCTCTCCGGTGTCCTTCCCTCCCCACGCCAGCCCTGCCTCTCACATTTGGGCCTGCTTGGCCCTCTGAGCATCTTTTGGGGAACACTCCTCCATTTCAAGGCTTTCCTCTGATGTTTATTCTGATTGATAAGCACAGAGACTCTCCTCTCACTCCTCGATTGGCCCGTGGACTTGGGCAAGCCAGAGCCTGTGCTGAGCTCCTATCTGTGCTGTGGGATGGGTGCGCTCAAGATTTCAAACTCCAGTGTCCTGCAATGTCCCACCTAGACAAAAGTGCCAACCAGAAGGAGAAAGCTACAAGGTGATTTCCACCTGCTCTGAACTCTCACAGGGATGCTCTGACCCTCTGTACCTCTCACAGGGACCTCATAGGAGAGATCCTGGCTGCTGGTCACCTGGTCCCCAACTCAGAGGATGGGTGACCTTACAATTCATTAGCCAAATGGGGACACTTCTGTGAAGGGGATGGTCTTAATTATTCTGGAATAAAAGATATAAACCAGGACTGTCTTCGGCAAACTAGGATAAATGAATGAAGTAGAGAAACAGGCCTTACCTCTCGGTGTCTCAGCTGAAAGCTTCTGCCCTCATGGTAGCAGTTGTAAGTTTTCAGCAGGCTTATCAGCTCCGACCTAAGGGGGGAGATGCATACATACTCTTGGAGTGTGGAGGGGCCTTGGACAAGGCGTTTGTCTTCATTGGCCTCAGTTTCCTCATTTATAGAATGGGCATAATAGTACACATCTTGCCGGCCACACAGAATCGGTTAAGAGACCAGACTGCACTGCACACACGCCCTTCAGTCCTCTTGAGGATTTCACGTATCAGCCCTCCTGGAAGACGCAGGGGTGGGGCTGAGAGGGAAGCAAAACTCCCAGATGCGCCACATCACTGTACCTCTAGGGTGTCTGCACACTTTCACCAAGAATTCCTGACAGCCTTCCTGCACTGTACATATGTCACTTCCTCAGACAATCCCCTGGGCTTGGATTACTGGCATCTTAAAGACTCCTGCTTTGCCCCCATATTACTTCCTACAAAGACCTGGTGTGGCTGCTGAGGGGGCACCATGAGGGTGCCTCTTCCCTACCCTGACTTCCTGGAGGTATGATCAAAGGATGAAGATGACAGCAGTGAGAATAAGACCCTGAAGGCCCTAGGAAGGCCACGCTGCCCAAATGTTTTCTACCCAGAATACAGGGAAAGCCACACTTGTGCCTTGGCTGGTGTGTGGTAGAGAGAAGACAAGGACAGCTTCCTGGACCCAAGCGGGGCTCTGCAGGGCAGCACTGTCTAACAGACATGAAATGTGAGCCACACATGTGGTTGGTTTGTTAAATCTTTTAGTAGCCACAATAGAAGGCAAAATGAAACAGGTGAAATTAGTTTTACTAACACATTTTATTGCCCAATATATCTAAAACACTATCATGTCAACATGTAATCTATATAAAAATATTAATGAGATCTGATTCATTATTTTATTTTGTAAGAACTGTTTGCCACTTGGAGCACCTTTGATATTAACTATACCTCTCTAGCCACAGGTCACATGCTCAGCAGTCACACTTGCTGGTGGCTCCCTTACTGGACAGAGGGGCTCTAGAACCTCTTCAGGCAGCACCTTTGCCTGCACTGGGGTACCCCAAACTGGATGAGCAAAACCAGCTCTGGTGCTCCAGTGTGCCGCCATATGGGATATGGGGACGCGGTTACCTGACAGGGAAGTGATTATACCTTCATGGCATTAACAAAGCAGGATTCAATGTTGCACGTTCACTGTGCTTCAAAGTGTGTAAATGCTGAACACAAAATTATTAGGCTATATATACATGAAATGAATCATGTTTTCGTGATTATGACTTTTCCCAAAATATTTAATATTGTTCTTGTTCTAAAATTTAAATAAGAAAACTGATGGTATGAGTAGTATTGTGAAATGATACAATGGAATGCCGTCTGTTTTCTCAGAGTCTCTAAGAGGAGGACCCCAGGGAGCAGGTCCTCAGCAAAAACTAGTCCATCTCAAGGAGGCTGGTGTGTCTTCAGCATGGCAGATAGCAATTGCCCAAATTTAGAAAATATTTATAGACACAGGACTCAAAAAGCAAGATAAAATGATTACTATACTTTTCTTTAGTTCAGAAATAAGCTAGTAAAAGTATCCTAAACATTTTTTTAATGATGAGACAGAGAGTAATCAAAATAAAAATAAGCAAAGTTAAAAATCATGTCAATAAAATATACTTTTCCAGTAAAAACTCAAAACCAGTTTTGAGGGTCCTCCCCCCCAACCCGGAACTATTTAACACAATAAGACTGTTAGTATCGCTCTAGTTTTTAAATAAATTAAATTCCATCTCTTCAGAGTCACAGAGGGCACTGTCATGCTTTTGAGGGCTGCAGAAGGCAGAGGTGAAACCCACACCCTGAAAAGATCTTTGATCTTCAAAGTGACAGGTTTCACAAAAAGGGCCCTCATCATGTCAGGTGGTCACATGTCTTGCTAGGGAGACTGAATCATGGATGGGGTAGAGGCTTGATCACTGCACTGTACACCTGAAGCTGGTGTTGTATAATATTGTATGTCAACTATAAGTGAATATATATATATATATATATATAGTCACAGGACGTGGAGTATAGTGTGGGAGTGGAGTCAAGGGAATTATAATAGATATGTATGATATTGGGGGTATGTGGGGTGGCAGATTGGGGGAGGGGGGTTGTCACCTCGACGGGTAAAGAGTATAACTATTGCACTGTGTTGTACAGCTGAAACTAATTCTAAAATTGTGTATTTCACAATAAAAAATAATTTTAAAAAAAGTGCCCCCATCACTGTCCCCAGGGGAGGCACATCTCATATCTATTAGAAGTGCCCAGAATCCCTCCACCCAAAGGCTGCTCATGGAGGAGGGGGCGTGGCCATAAGGAGAGGGCAGGCATGAAGCCCCTCCCTGCATACAAAGGCTTACTTCAGAATGGACTTGCTGTCGCTGATGGGCACGTGAGAACTAGGTGGACATTCTTCCTTCATCTTCTTTTCTTGGCTGCAGGCTATGAAGTTACCTGTGGGAAAGTTCAGGAATGGCACACAGTAGGTGAGCAGGAGGAGCACTGCCCAATGCAGGACCCAGAGCTCTAGTGTGGAGGCTGGCGGGTTGGCCTCACTTCCCATCTCCAGACTCTTTCAACCTTCCACTCCCCAGTCCCTCACCGCACTCCTACTCCCTGCTATAGCAGAAGGGTCAGGCTCAGAGGACTGAATGGGAACCCACACCCACACCCACACTTGTCAGCCAAGCGTCACCTGGAGGTGCAAGGTCAGAACTGCTGAGTCAGCCATTTCCAGCCCTATCAGCCTCCCTCCCCAAACCTCTCCATAATCCCCAAGAATCAGGATCAATCTCTTAAATGTTTCAGATCCCATGCTATTTCCCCTCTGCTCAGACATCCTGAGTAATGGTTTCTGCCTCAATTACTCCTCTAAAACTCCAAAGCAGCCTGGGCCTATCTCCTCCATCCTATTGAGTCCAGGATGGGTGGCCCCATCTCTGCCACTGGAGTCAGCACAACTGGGCCAGCTCTCCTAGTGATGGGTTCATTGTACCATGTTCACTACATGCCACAGACTGTTGAGAATTTTCTATGAATTACAGCAGATGTTTGGATAATGCCCTTTCACTCAATGTTCAATGTTGTTTTGTTAAAATGTTGATGAGATGCTATGGGAACTTAACTCTTGTTTATATTGATTAGCCTATTGTAAAATTGGTTTCTTTATATGTCATTTCACTTCAAGTCACAGAACCTATTGACCTTAGTTGAGGACTTACTGTATTTCCTTTACTTCTTACAACAACATTATAAGTTAAGTACCATCCTACTCCCATTTTATGGCTGAGAAAACAGGGACAGAAGTTAAGTACTTTGCCCAAGGAAAATAAGTGGCAAAGCCACTGTTTGAACACAAGCGGTTAGGCCCCAAGTTCTGTCCTCTTATGCCTTTCTCTATATTGACCTTGGACAGTGACTTAAACCCCCTGGGGGAAGAGTGAAGACAGGGAATATGTGAAATAGAGTCACTTTAACCGAGCTGCTAAAATGTTTAACATTATGAAGGTTGAGACATGAGGAAAGACTCCATTCTTGTTCTTACTGGCCTGGGAACTTAAACTTTTTTGAACTTTCCAGTCCTGTGTCAGTGCCTGGATCTACATCTTGACCTTTAGGTAGCCCTCTGATTACCCCTGAAGGACTCAGGTATACAGCTATTTGACATCCATTACTCAAACCACTGGGGTGTGAGCAGACCTCCTTGGCACCCATCTCATGGACCAGCTGGCACCCATCATGTTGACTTTCTGTCACCTGACTGATAACCATCCTGGAGCAATGCTGGGGCTAAGAATGCAGGAATGATAATTCTCAAGAATGTACTTTTTGCTATAAGAACTTGTAACTTTTCTTCTTTGGAACACTGCTGGGTTTTTGCCTAGCTGTGTTTCCAGTTTGCAAAATCCAAGATCTTTGAATAAATCTTTATCTTTTTTATTCTAGCAAAGCTTCCAGACTCTTTGCATTCATTGGACACCCCAGCCTTCCTTTTCTCATCTATACAATGGGCTAATCTCTGCCCTATGGGATTGTTAGTAGATTCACACAGGAAACTGTCTATACGTATCTCTTTCCAATCTGGAAAGGTTTGTGGAGAGCACTCCC